CCTGATAATATTTACAGTAATAAATTCTCGTTGGTGCTACAAAGTAGTGTGCTGTATTGATCTTCTATGTGTATTGTTAATTCTCTATGGGTGGAGACTGGATAATTATGAAGATAGCCGTTAGCTTGAGTAAACTATTCCTTGGTGAAACATTCCTATTGCCCTAGACGCAACCAGTGCTTAAAAGGGGAACAACCGATACAACTTTGGCTAAGTTTAACTGATTCAGACGTTTGACATCTTGCCTCGCGTTCTGAAGTTCGTGAATTATTTTCACGTCTGTGTCGTTCGGTTCGCAAAGGCAATATTTACCGAGACACTTTGGAATCGTAACCTAGTTACGGTGTTCGTGCTTTGTGCGAAGCTTTAGGCAGGCGGCTGGAAGTTCTACAGAGAGAGACCGAGACATATGGTATAAGACCCTGAGCAATAAATTCGATCCTCTCAGCTTTAACCTACAATCTTTAAAAACATTACATAGTTATTTGGGAAAGTTGAATGATAGAAGAACGAAAGAATATCTGTTATATATATATATATATTTATATTTATGTATGTGTGTGTGTGTATGTGTTTGAATGTACAAACACACATACACATAAGGTAAAATATACACATTGTCTAATAAGGAAAGACCTGTTCCCAGCGAAACAATGAAGGTATGGCAGTAGGCACTAACCTGACAACACCTCTGAAACACGACATCCGGCCAGGTGCCCCTCACAGCCATGGCGGCCGCCGCTTGTCCCAGTTTTCTCACAGCAGTTTCTCCGGGTTCAGCTTCCAGAGAGACACGAAAGAGCATCCACAGGTAGCCAGCCAGTCACATAACAGACAGGTGTTTTTGTAGCCAGACATGTGTTGTAACCAGACTGGTCTTGTTGTAGCCATGACATGTATTGTAACCAGACTGGTCTTGTTGTAGCCAGACATGTGTTGTAACCAGACTGGTCTTGTTGTAGCCAGACATGTGTTGTAACCAGACTGGTCTTGTTGTAGCCAGACATGTGTTGTAACCAGACTGGTCTTGTTGTAGCCAGACATGTGTTGTAACCAGACTAGTCTTGTTGTAGCCAGACATGTGTTGTAACCAGACTGGTCTTGTTGTAGCCAGACATGTGTTGTAACCAGACTGGTCTTGTTGTAGCCATGACATGTGTTGTAACCAGACTGGTCTTGTTGTAGCCATGACATGTGTTGTAACCAGACTGGTCTTGTTGTAGCCATGACATGTATTGCTATGGCCAGCAGACAGGTGTTGTTGTAACCGTACATGTGATGAAGCCGGACAGGTGTTGCAGTAACCAGACAGGTGTTGTAACCAGACAGTTGTAGTTGTAACCAGACAGGTGTTGTAACCAGACAGTTGTAGTTGTAACCAGACAGGTGTTGTTGTAACCAGACAGGTGTAGTTGTAACCAGACAGGTGTTGTTGTAACCAGTCAGGTGTTGTTGCAACCAGACAGGTGTTGTTGTAACAAGACAGGTGTTGTTGTAACCAGGGAGGTGTTGTTGTATCCAGACAGGTGTTGTTGTAACCAGACAGGTGTTGTTGTAACCAGTCAGGTGTTGTTGCAACCAGACAGGTGTTGTTGTAACCAGGGAGGTGTTGTTGTAACCAGGGAGGTGTTGTTGTATCCAGACAGGTGTTGTTGTAGCCATTTCTTATTGTAGGCAGGCAAGTGTTGTTGTAGCTAGTATTTAAAATACATCCACATATGTTGCCAATCATTCATACTAGCATATGCACAAGTAATAACTCATCGTCATTTCCAGTATTTTTTTTTTTTGGTTTTTTTTTTTTTTGGGGGGGGGGGGGGGGGGGGATCCTTGGGTTCGCTTCTTGGAAAAACAAATAGTTTAATAAAATATGGACGTCCAAGAGAAACTCTAAGATTGTTGAGAGAGACCAAACGTGTTGGACTAGAGTCCATCTATGACGTTCGAAATTATTGCACGCGATAAAATGGAATGGAGAACTAGACAGCGAGCCATATGTGACATATAACTGTACGATCTGATGATGATGATGATTATGATGATGATTATGATGATGATTATGATGATGAGGATGAATGAGTTTAGCCTCATCTGAGTCTCCCTTGATTAGTTTCAGAACACATACCGTATGGGTCCAAGTTCAGACGAGAGGTTCCAGTCCAAAAAAGCGGAGGAGATAATGAAGTCGGTGTTGGAATCGTATCTTGGGGGAGAGAAGTACGACACCTCAATCTGTGGCAGCCTGGCCAAGGAAATGTCTGATGTCATCAAGGCAAGAATGAAAGACGCCGGCTTCAGGTAGGTGGAGGTTAAGCAAGTGACTAGTAGTGAAGCATGCGAGTTAGAGAACGCAAGAAGATTCTAAAAGCTTTTTGTCATGGTATTGAGGGGTGTCAGCACACGCACTGATACAAGCTGTTGAAGATAGCAGATGGTGGAGGGGTTTAACCACCCACGCCTGTCAGAAAGGCACTTGATGATAATGATGATAATAATGATGATGATGGTAGCACAGGGAGGTCTTGGATCAGAGCATTTAGGGTCACCGACTAATACATTCGTCATTCGAGTGTGCGGGTTAGGATCATATTTCCACTCCCAGCTAAATACAGTACACCAGTGAAGAGCCCAGTGTTCTCAGCCGCTCGACCGGCTGCTCCTCACACAGTAGAGCATTTTTTTTTTTTTTTTTTTTGTATCCAGAAGCCATGAGTTGTTAACCCTTAGGCTCGGTATTATGGATATCGCAACCCTTTGGCCTTAATTCCATGATAAATACCGTAAATCTGGGAGAAATGTGGCTTTTCTGCCTACCCCTGGGCGTGAACCTGGACCACAAGGAGTTCGTCACCCGGTCACCGCGCAATACGGTTTAGCCAACTACGCTAGAGAGCCGGGCAGTAGAAAAAATTAAACAGTATGACAGAAGCACAAATTTGCAGCTTCGGCAAAGAACTAATCAAAGTCCAGTGAATCATAAGGGGAGGAAAAGATGCTGGCGCTGGATGAGACACACATTGAGAAAACCTGATAATACGCCCCAGTCAGTCTCTCAGTCAGTAGCTTGTCCTTTGCAGAGCCTTGCTCCCATAATAACCCTCCGGAAAACTTCTCGATTTCAAGCAAGATACATCCATCTGGAGATCATTCGCCACATTGCTGGTGGATCACTGAGGGCTCTATGAAATGATGAAATATCAGAAAATGTCAGATAGTAACAGCTAAAAAATCCATGCTGTAATGGCAATCTAAATAAGCAAGCGCTCAATGTTTCGCAGAATTGACTGTAACTGGGACCGTTCCTTCTGTATGACTGAGCAGGCATTTACAGGACGGATACATCACAGCACAAAGCTTGTTTGGTCTTACGAAAATAAATATACGGTACGTTTTTGCAGGTGCAAGAGAATTTCAATTGGCTCGGCATCTGCTGCTTGAACAATGAATTTTGCCTGTCCTCGATTCAGCGTCTTACTGGCTTCATTGGTCCCCTTTCTCAGCTGCTTATAATTGGAAGCCTGCTGTACAAGTTCCAAAATCTGCTCTGTCATGTCTGATCTGCTGCAGGGGTATGCTTTGTTGCTTATTTCTTTAGCCATCGTTGTTAAGTAGTCTTTAAATTTAATTAAGATGGAAGTCTTTTTATTTCAACAACCTCTCTGTAAAAACACTTCGCTTCACTGAGTTGAGTTGAGTTGAATCAAAAATTGACATAACAGCTCTCGGGGTATTCCCACGCATGCTCCGTCCTCATCTTCAGCAGCCAGCGCTTAGTTCTAATACTGTTGGTACCGGTCACAATCTGTTTAAATGTCCGTCTTGCCTTTCCTCTGAGTGTAGTCAGCTGGCCAGGCCCTCTGGTTACACCCAGGTGCTTCATTCTTTCCAGACCATAATAATCTTTTCTCTACTGATTCCGTTGCTTGTTCCCAAAGGGCCTTGACCACATTTGCCTTGTAATGTATCAGTTCACCACCCAGTGGTGCAGATCTAGCGAATCTGTCTACCTTCACTACCCATTCTCTTTTCTCTCAGCACCGAACTATCTGTATAGATAATCAGATCACCTGGACGTGAATTGTCGTGAATCAACTGTTGGACTTCAACCTCCATAGCACCCGCTGGCCACTCTCTGCACACCCGGCCTAATGTGATCATAACCCTACACGGGTCATACTTTTCCGCTGGTACTCTGGCCCACTCCTCTCCTCGCCCAATGTTCTCCAGCATGCATACTTGTCTTATTGTGTCTTCTGCTTGAGCCATCCACCATTTACCCCTTTTCAGCCTCTGACCCTTGCCTGCAGCCAAAGCTTCATACATAGGATGTTCCCTGTCTACTCTGAGGTATGACTTAGCCTGCAGCACCTTTACCCTGTATGCAATAGTCGGTATTGCTAGGATGTATCGCATTCACACAATCGGTGTGTCTCTTGTACAACCCAGCATCAGCCGCATAGCTTCATTCTGTATGCGCCCCAGTTTTTCTTGCTGACTCTTGCAGCCACGTCACCCAGAGCATCAGCAGCAACATCCAGAGCATCAGCAGCAACATCCAGAGCATCAGCAGCAACATCCAGAGCATCAGCAGCAACATCCAGAGCATCAACAGCAACACCCAGAGCATCAACAGCAACAACCAGAGCATCAACAGCAACATCCAGAGCATCAGGAGCAGTTTGGCCAGCAGGAGCTGCAGAGAGCCCCACAGGTGATCGAACATCAGCCGGGCCAGCGACCGCAGTTCAGCCAACAAGAACAGCAACAGGTTCCTGTTGTTGCAAAGCCAGAAGTGGCCGGGCAGACGGAGACGGAGAAAATGCAGCAGCAGATTAAAGAACTGCAGGAGAAGTTGAATCAAAGGTCACATCATTAGCGGGAACATCAAAGGGAGAGGTTCTGAAAACTTCAAGCAGCTTATAAACAGTTGAGTGGAGATTATGTTGAGCTTTCAGCTTCCCATTGGTCAGACTGCCTGGTACAAAAACATTGTTCCTATTTATTGTTTATAGAATATGTCACATATAATATTCATTAAATGTTTGCCTATATACACATCAAAAAAAAAAAAAAACCAAATGTGCCACCACGAGGTTGAGGATCACCGTGGAGAGGTCCCAGAAACCGCGTTTAGCCTTTAGACCATGTTTATGACCAGGCTATATTGCGGCCCCTGGCAAGAGCCAGAGTAGGGCTTCAAATAACGAAAAATTTCATCCTAAGAAGGACGATAAGTATGCATACGATGTGTATAACAACACAGAACTGGTTAATGTTACGACTGACTGACTTTCTACCCCACTAGGACATCACACAAGCGATAAACACCCGATGACACAATGTGCCACCATGTGGATGAGGATCACCTTGGAGAGGTCCCAGAAACCGCGTTCAGCCTTTAGGCTATATTGCGGCCCCTGACAAGAGCCAGAGTAGGGCTTCAAATAACAAAACATTTCGTCCATGAAAGGACGGAAAGTAAATTATTAAGTTAATGTTACCGCTTGGTTACGACTAAATCTGCTAATTTGTAGCGGAAATTACACTTTTGTGTGATGCATTATGGAAAAATGTCAAGAATTTCTGCTATTTTTATTTATTTGTTTACCAAACCCCTATCCTGTTAATTATTTTTACTTTCGACTGAAAAATAAAATGCATCTGCCATTTAAATTGAAAAGCATGATAACAACTCCATAGACTAAAGTATTTTTAGTTTAGCAGGTTATTTCCCTTAGTAGTAAATGCAGAGAGACAGTCACAAAAAAAAAGGAAAAAAAAGTAGAAACAAAGGCTTGATGCTACATTATTGGTCTGAAGAGTTCTCAACAGTTTGTCCTCTTACAGAGCACACTCCTATCACGGCCTTTGTGAAAGAAACTCAACTACGATACAACCGTCCCAACACGAGACGCAATTTCTCGTTAAAACCTCACTCCGGCTGAGTGAGTGAGTGAGATTCAACCCCACCAGGACATTCAACAAGCAATAAATACCCGATGACACAAAGTGCCATCATGCGGATGAGAATCACACAGAAAGAGGTCTCTGAAACCCCGTTCAACCCAAAGGTTGAGTTATATTAGGGCCTCCGGCAAATACCAGCTTGGGGCTTTAAGCTCAAGACAGAAAACAGATTTCCAACTAATCAACTATTACTGTCCGAGCTACCGTCACTGGATACAATAGTAGTAAATAAGAGAATCATTGTGGAGATTTCAAATCACTCAGAAAGCTGGGGCTACGATCACATGGATCAGAGGGTAGAGAAACTGGAGGACTGACAGGATCAAAACAGATTCATCCTCACAAATAAGCCAACCGACCCACCAATCTTCTACTCAAGAGCATGGCATACCACCTCTACGCCAGACCTAGCCTTTCATTCACCAGACATGGCATACCACCTCTACGCCAGACCTAGCCTTTCATTTACCAGACATGGTATACCACCTCTACGCCAGACCTAGCCTTTCATTTACCAGACATGGCATACCACCTCTACGCCAGACCTAGCCTTTCATTCACCAGACATGGCATACCACCTCTACGCCAGACCTAGCCTTTCATTTACCAGACATGGCATACCACCTCTTAAGCCAGACCTAGCCTTTCATTTACCAGACATGGCATACCACCTCTTGAGCCAGACCTAGCCTTTCATTTACCAGACATGGCATACCACCTCTACGCCAGACCTAGCCTTTCATTCACCAGACATGGCATACCACCTCTACGCCAGACCTAGCCTTTCATTTACCAGACATGGTATACCACCTCTACGCCAGACCTAGCCTTTCATTCACCAGACATGGCATACCACCTCTACGCCAGACCTAGCCTTTCATTCACCAGACATGGCATACCACCTCTACGCCAGACCTAGCCTTTCATTCACCAGACATGGAATGGGACATTACTAGAACTGTTGGAAAACAACTAGGAGTTAGTGATCACCGCCAGTCTTTCTAACGATAGAAAACCAGTCTATAGGAAAGAGCACCACGCTACCATTGGATTGGATTGGCTTTTTACCCCACCAGGACATCACACAAGCGATAAACACCCGATGACACAAAGTGCCACCATGCGGATGAGGATCACCGTGGAGAGGTCCCAGAAACCGCGTTCAGACATTTGGCCATAATGATGACCTGCCTATATTGCGGCCCCTGGCAAAAGCCAGAGTGGGGCTTCAAATAACAAAAAATAACGTCCTAAGAAGGACGTAAGGTCGCAGTTGACCACGCTACCATGATGGAATTACAAGAAGGCAGAGTGGAACCTTACAAGTGTTTTGGTTAAAAATAAAAAAATAAAAAAAACAGATAACAATGCAGACAAAGTTAATAGAAAAGAATATTGCAGTCAGCCCTAGAAACAATTCCAAGAGGCGCACGTAAGCAAGATAAACTATACTGGAATTGTTGTCCTAGAACAATTGTACAATGATATGGAAACCGAACGAAAGAAAGGCGAAATCAGACCTTGTTAAGAGCTGTTCAACAAATACTAACATGCGAAGGCCGAATTTCAAAGAGTCAAGCTGCAGGCTAGAAGGGCATGTTGGCCACACACACACACACACACACACACACACACACACACGCACGCACGCACACACGCACGCACGCACGCACGCACACACACACACACAAAGAAAAGCAGAACTCTATAAACTTTGAAAGAGACGCAAGGAAGATGTGGAGGCTGGAAAAACACATTAATGACGAGAGGACAGGGAGAAAGGCAAATACTACAATATATTCAGAAACCTTCCTCTTCCTCTCTTCCTAGGCATATACCCCTCCATTATTGTTCTCTCTTAACTTTCGTGACGTTTCAAGTGACCAAAATAATTCAATTTTCTATGTTTTATCGTTTTTAATAGCTAGCCTTCTTTAATATTCAGTTTTTGGGGAATGGATTCATTTGTTATTTTCTTTACCCATGATATTCTTAGAATCCGTCTATAAGATTTGTATTCAAATGCATGTACGCGCTGTTCAACTTGTGTAGTAAATGTCCAGGTCTCACATTAGTATATTGCAATGGGAAAGATGCATGTTCTCAGAAATATAATTTGGTAGTTCTCCATAATTTATTCAGTTGTTTTAGTCTTTGAAAAGCAATTGATAGTCCCCGTTTAATTTATTTCATTGTGCCGCCATTATTGGTCATCAATGACCCAAGCTATTCAGAGTTTTCATCAACCTCCAATCTTTCTTCATTAACACATATTTCTTTCTCCACCGTAGTTTTATTTGTCTGCATAATTTTTGCTATGTTGAGATTTAAGTTGTGATTTTCACTATTTCTTTGGGTTGAGGTTATAGTTTTCTATACCAGTCTATGATGTGGATAGCAATACTGTTGACCACATTACCCACCTAGTGCCGATTGGTCTGTAAAACTGTGGGTGCTCTTCCCATACGCCTGATGCGCCTTAGGCGCAAAAGGGATCTGACTTTTTTTTTAAACTCTTCACTTCATTGTTGAGTGCGGGGCAGTCTTTTTTTTAACGACTAAGTCAGGGGGCCGAGCCATCCACACGTTTATCATTTTCAACAACAACAACAACAACAACAGAGAAATAAATAAAGGGCAACTCAAATATACACGATTTGCGGGGTAATTTGGGGGGGGGGGGGGTGTAATTAGAAACCGAGATGAATATGGCGAATAGGACATTTGGTTAAATACAAGAGATGGCAAGGAAAAGGACGACTTCGTTTTGGTTGACACTTCATTGCGAAAGGCAAGAGAGGCGTTACCTCCATAGGACTGCAGGCTACGGGGAGACAAATTGATCGATCGATCGATTGCTAATGAAGATGAAGAAGACATTTTTAACGCGTTCCCTTCCCCAGCTATACCAAAATTGATTTATTTGAACCATTTGATACTATAAACTATAAACCATGAACACTCGAGCATCTGTTGCTGGGTCAGACGCTATTTAAATCCCCATTTGACTTGGCTTTACGATTCTGGGTAACTAGGTTTCCACAGTATAAATGTGTTATGGGACAGAACGGGACATCCGGGATTTGATTCTTTTTGATTATCACAATCTTATCTCGTCTGGATCCTCTAATAGCTTGCGGCGTTGTGTTAAAGTATAATTTACGGAAAGGAGACAGTTTGTGTGCTTCGTAAATAGGGATTTTTGGGGAATATGTAATTCTCTATGTCCATAGTTTGCACGGTCTGCCTCTCCTTTGCTTTCATTCTGGTCTGTAATCATTGTTTGCTGTGGTATACCGTTTTTATGACATCCGAGTTATATGACCAAACCATTTCACCTGTTTTCTGCTACTGAAATGTAGAGTTCCGCTACCCCCATTTTCCTACTGATGTTATCATTCCTGACAGTATCTCTTATTGTTACATTAAGAGTTCTTCGTGTGAATCTCATTTCAGATGTAGTAATTTTTCTTTTTTTTTTCTTTAGTGTCCAGGTCTGGCATTGCTAGAAGTGTTGGCAAGAAGATTGTCACAAAGCGATCTTTTTAGTTTCTACTGACACATGTGTTTTTCTTAGAGGTTCGTGCCATTTGTCCAATGAGTTGGTTTGCTCTGTTACATCTGTCATCGATCTCATCTTCTGTTTTGCTGGCTGATGATATTATGCTTCCTAAGTATTTGAAGTTTTTGGTTTGTATCAAAGAGTTTTTTGTAAGCTGGATATTTATTGCTTTGTCTGCTATGGCAATGTCATGACCTCTGTGTTTCATGGTAATGCTCTATTCATAATTGTTGTCAGTCATTTATTTCATCTTGAAGCTCTGTTTCGGGAGTAGCAATTATTGTTTGGTCGTCTGCAAATAGTAGTTCTGTGATGAAACTGTGTCATCGATGAGTGTTAACTTTACAGAATGCAACCCTGGCGAGGAAAAATTGAACACAATTATATATTACATGAATAAAGAAGGCCCTCATCCACCTCGGACTACAGTTGACTCCCTAACCGTCAGGTGACCAAACATAACTGTGTTATTTAATAGTTTAGATGTTGCGAAAGTGCTTCGTAACTTCGAGGTGCTGGGTTCTATCGCAGCTTAGCGCTGGTGGTATCAAGGGTCGACCTTTTAGTACAGTTGAAAACTAGTGAACGTTAAATTACCAAGTGAAATCAAACAGAAAAAAAACTTTAGGATCTGGTTCTGCAACGTCCTGTAAAATATGTGCCACTAACTTTTTAGACGGTTGAATAGGGTTTCCTGGACTACCTTGGGTTTATTTTATCACCTTGATAGTGGCTCTTTGATGCACTGGATGTTCATCTTTCAAAATGCAATCATCGGGTTGGGGGGGGGGGTGTTTATCTTACTGAGAAACATATGGTCACATAAACATGCTGCTGTCAATGTGTCAGTGGGGTCTACAAGAGAAGCAACCGTAAAATTAGCAAACACATTGACAGACAAGTGAAAGTTGACTGTGTGCCTCAGCTTTCAGCTGAAGAAGAAGAGGAAGAAGAATTTACAAACACACACAAACACACACAAGTAATTTCTTTCTGGTTTATTTCTTCTTTTTCTGACTTTCTATCCCCCAATGGAGCATAGGCCCTCAACCAACCCACGCCAAGTCGTTCTATCCTTCGCTATTGCATGCAGCTCTCCCCGTGTCCTCCCCATCTTGCTAACCTCATTCTCCAGCTCTCTTCTCCATGTGTTTTTTGCCTTCCTTTATTCCTATGTCCCTGTGGGTTCCAATTTAATGCATTCTAGTTGTGCTGTTCTCCGGTTTTCTTAATGCGTGTCCTATCCAACGCCCAGAGCTCTACATTAGTTATTCTATCATACTATTTAATTCCCTCTATTCTGCGCAGGCACCAGTTAATGAATGTCTGTAATTTATTAGTAATTGCCTTAGTTGTTTTCCATGTTTCCGCCCTTAATAAAAGTACTGATTTGACATAAGAATTAAAAATGTTAAGTTTAGTAATCCTTTTAATTTCCTTTGACGTCCACAAATTCCCTAGTGCTATGAAAGCTCTCTTGCCTTTTGTGGTTTGTTTAGTGACTAATAATTCCCATGTGTCATCTGTTTCCAGCCCGAGGTACAAGTTTGTGTGTTTGGTGTTGGTGAGCCAGAACCAACGCCAGCAGATGGTGGTTGCCAGCAGAAGTGTGTGGAACACGGACACAGACAACTTCGCCTCAACTTCTTTCTCACAGGCCGACCTCTTTGCCGTGGCCAATATTTACGCTACATATTTTGAATAGCATTTTATTGTCAGTTAAACCGGGGCCATCTCTACAATGAAGAGCGGCTCCACTGGATCCATAATACAGGAGAAGTTCAGGAACAATAATAAAATAAAAGGGAGTAGGATGGGGATAAAATAGGAGGAGAAAAGGAGAAGGAGGAAATGAAAAACAACGAAAAATTTACAACAATAATAACAAAAGAAACAAGAACACAAAGAATCAAACGTACTTATTTAAACAATTTGAAGTAGAACAAAGCTACAATTAATATCCATCCAATAGTTTAATCGTCTGTTGCACGCAACGGAAAATTGTCTGTTATGTGACTGTGATTAATCTGTTGTTGCATCAACAAGATGAATAAATGTCTTTTAAACATGTGATTGTGCGGCATGTTGCCAAACAAAGACGTCATTGCGGATTTTAGCAACAAAACTAGTCAAACTACAAGTATTTTACAGTTATATTTTGTTGCGAATGTCACTGCCTGTGAGATACAGACATAATATTTAACATTCTTGTGTTACTAAATTGTGTGTGTGTGTGTATGTGTTTTATGTCTTTACTACGTCTTGAGTTATTTTTCTTGCTTTGCAGTTGTGGTTTGGTAATGTAACAAGATTGGCAGTAGACATGGCACCACAGAGAGCAATGTTATACAGATGCAGCGGTAACAGATCCAGAGGTCGACCACGTAGAAATATCAGAGACACTGAAAAGTACTATATACGAAGCGAATAGAAAGACCCGTTCTAGACATTTCCTCCCCTGGAGGCATCCCAGAAAAGAAGGAGAAGATATAATGTGTGAGACAGAGACAAAGTTACACATTCCGATGCACATCAATGACCAATGAATAAATTTTCCCATTATGCTGTGACGCGATGGTCATGAGCTCGGTATTGTTGTATTGTTGTCCCCCATGTTCCACGGGCATAATTTCCTTTTTCTGGCCCAGAAAGAGAGTAACTTCCCTTGTCATTCATGAATGGCCGTGTCGCAGGGCTTGTCTTATGCTGCGGGGGTTTCGCGTTTTGTCACTTTACGGCGATAGTCTTAAAACGTGCAGAACTGGCCCTAACCCCAGCCCCCTACGTCCCACGACTGCATGCAGCCTAAGTGGCACGGCTGCTTGTAGCCTATGATTTACGTTGCATACAGTCGTGCCACATAGGCTGCATGCAGTCGTGGGGAGTAGGCTGCCCTCTCTTGTGGGACGTATTGGTGGGGGAAAAGAGGCGAGGGGGTTGTGTTAAGGCTAGCTCTGCATGGCCTGGGACCGTTAAAATTGCTTACATCCTGGAAAATTAAACATGCGATATCGCCGGCCGGTAACAACAACTAGTACAATGCCACGTGCTGGTAGCCTGTGACTAAATGCGACACACCCGCAACATAGAACAAGCCCTGCGACATGGCGATTATTGATGGCAAGGGTAGTCACTTTCTTTCTGAGACGGAAAACGTAAGTTATACAGTTTCACGGTTTGTTGAGTATCGATGTGATCACAAACGAAAGTAAACACAGCCTTAACAGAAAAGTGCATATCATTTACTATATGCGTGTGGTGCCCCATTACTGTAAACTAGTACGTAGTCAGAATTTAAAAGCTGACCACTTTAGTTTTGTTTCAGAACTGAGTTCGGCTTGCATATCCATTTTACATTTCTAGCTTATTTGACTGCAGATTGTTTGTTTCTCACCTCTCAGGCAGATGCACAGCGACCCTAATTAGTCGCCTGTTATGACATGCTTGTTAGGGAGTCAGTGGGTCTACCCCCTTCCCCATCCCGTGTGACGATTAACGTATATAGATATAGTGCCGACATCATATCCTCATTATACCTGCCTGAAGGCATTCAAATATGAAACCTACATTTATTTATGATACGATTAACTACCTGAAACCGAATTCGGGAAAAATATAACTGACAGAAATTAAGAAAAACTATCATGAGAGGAAATTTAAGGAAAATATAATGAAAATAAAATTTCTGCAATTGTAATGGAGAGAAACGTTTTCACCAGGCAATTTTCAAAATGGTATAGGACTTTTCTTTACCAGAGAAGGCGACAAAGAAAGGAATTGTCTACAACAGTGATTCCCAAACTGTGCGCCGCGGCGCCTAGGGGAGCCGCCACCTCTTTACAGGGGCACCCCGAAATATTATAAAAACTTCATAATTAATTTAACCAAGGCACGAATAGTCATTTTACTTAAGTTAGGGCGCCTCGGGAAAATTTTCATTGAAAAAAAAAAAAGGCCCCGCGACCAAGAGAAGTTTGGGACACACTGGTCTACACCATCCAATTTGCTGTGTATTAGAGACGACCTTCCACTTCTCACTCAAACAGCAACAATAAATAAGAAAGACATATCAGGGTACTTAATTTATAACTTACCCCTGACGTCATGACAACGTCATGGGAGACATTCCCAATAGATTCTAGGGTGTTCAGGTTGTAGTTTCTCGCGATTTATCTACAGCCAAGTTTAGAGTTAGTGTTAGGGTTAGCATTAGAAGACACTAGATTAACACTTAAAAAAAGCACCACACAACAGCACTCTTCCACCCCTTGAAATAATGGACTGTCAGGTCAGCTGTGGATTTCCCACGGGGATTTCGTGTTTGGGGTACGTTATAAATTAAGAACCCATATCAGTAAGTAATAAAATCCTTGCTTTGCGGTATTAAATCATTAGAGGAAAAAAAAATACCAAGAACTGTCCACCCAGGGAACGATTCCTCGACTACCCCGTACTGGTTCCACATCTAATTTCTACACTCCGATGAACTACCCTTGTACTTTTCTCCACACAAGGTGTTTACTGTCCGTTTTCAGAGCGCTCAATGACGTCATCGGCAGCCCATTCCAAGTGAGACTAGGAGTGTAGCCAAGTTGTCCTAGAATGCTTGCGATTTTTGCAGCCAAGATGGCTTTCTTGCTCCCTGGCCAGTGTGTTATGATGTAAGGAATGTCAAGTTCTCGAAAGAAAGTGCTGCCTAAAAAATGGACAGAGAAAAGTTCGTCAAATTTTGGTCATGAATAAAGCCGTGTATAACAAATGTGCAATAAAATCTAACACATACACACATGCGCACGCACGCACACATACACACTCTCTCTGTCTCTATCTCACTCTCTCTGTCTCTATCTCACTCTCTCTGTCTCTATCTCACTCTCTCTGTCTCTATCTCACTCTCTCTGTCTCTATCTCACTCTCTTGCAAAAGAAGTTGAAGTTTCGTCTTAACATCTCTCGCACACACACACACGCACACACACACACACACACACACACAAGGGCGCAAATATAAATATATATACATGCACAATTTCTCTTTGTCTCTCTTTCTGTCTGTGTCTGTCTGTCTGTCTGTCTGTCTGTCTGTCTGTCTGTCTGTCTGTCTGTCTGTCTGTCTGTCTCTCTCTCTCTCTCTCTCTCTCTCTCTCTCTCTCTCTCTCTCTCTCTCTCTCTTGCAAAAAAAGTTAACATTTCACCTTGATGCTTTCAACTGCTGCAACCAAATTTATTAGTGTCTTAGGGAATGCGTTTTGAAGAAATTTGCTTTGTAAACAAAAGCGAGGCGTGACATTATTAGCTGTGTTCTAAGAAGAAGGGGAGAAGGAAGAAGAAGAAGAAGAAGAAGAAGAAGAAGAAGAAGAAGAAGAAGAAGAAGAAGAAGAAGAAGAAGAAGAAGAAGAAGAAGAAGAAGAAGAAGAAGAAGAAGAAGAAGAAGAAGAAGAAGAACAACAACAACAACAACAACAACAACAACAACAACAACAACAACATGAAAAAAAAGTTAAATCACGTCTAGATGTAAGGGAGTTAGTGCAATATTTCCATCCTGTTATCATATTGTCTGATAGGAGGTTAAACAAAAACTATGATTGTATGAGGTAATGTAACATATTCCTAGAAAACTTGTTAAATCTGAACAGCTGGATTCATTTTGCCAAGAAGTAGTCATACATGTATACTCACTGGTGTCGAGGAAGGAGTCGCTGATTCCGCCTTGAAAGCCTAACCTCAACAAGGCCCGTCTAAACGGAACATCGGACACCACATTATTTAAAGTTGTCACTTGAACTGTCAGAAACATGTAGACAGAAACAGAGTGTGAGATTGTTTTAGATGTCTTAACATTTTTTTTTTCCTAATACTTCTGCTGTTTATTTCTTAACATTGCAGTTGTAATCACCATTGCTTACATCCAAGACTTCACTTTCACATTTGTGGCTGGAAACAGTACAACTGGACTCGCTGTTAACTATTACCTGCACTACAGCTCTTTTGTGTCGTTAACATTGCTTCTATACTCGACATTATCTGTTTCCTTTAAAATGTTCAATTTACAGTTTAACTATTAACATCGCAACTGTTATCAAAATTATAACCTTTCTTCAGTTTGACTGCTAACATTGCAACTCTAATCACCACAATATATTTCTTACACAACCTTTCTAATGTTTACGGTAGCCGCCTCGAGTGCTAGAGGTTCCGGATTAAATCCCCGGTAAGGGCTGGGATATTTTCACGCGGACTTGGACTGCTAGTAATTCCCACTGGTCTTGGGGTGGTGAGATCGGACTCCCGTGTGCATTGTTGCGCACGTAAAAAAGTCCCTTTTTCTTCTTCTTCTTCTTCTTCTTTTTCTTATTTTTCTTCTTCTTCTTCTTCTTCTTCTTCTTCTTCTTCTTCTTCTTCTTCTTCTTCTTCTTCTTCTTCTTCTTCTTCTTCTTCTTCTTCTTCTTCTTCTTCTTCTTCTTCTTCTTCTTCTTCTTCTTCTTCTTCTTCTTCTTCTTCTTCTTCTTCTTCTTCTTCTTCTTCTTCTTCTTCTTCTTCTTCTTCTTCTTCTTCTTCTTCTTCTTCTTCTTCTCTCCCACCTTGTACCTCATCGAAGTGTCGGGGGGAGATGTAATGTTCGTTGATGAGCTCTGTCAAGAGCACAATTAAGACTGATGTTCATTTCTGTAAGGCTGTTCTTAATGCCATCACTCCATATTTT